CACACACACACACACACACACACACACACACACACATACACACACCACAGATGCTTATCATTTTAGAGATCTCAAAGAACCAGATTTTGGTCAGATTGGAGTTTCTACATACCATTCTTTACAGAAAGAATCTAGGGCGCTCCATGAACAAATGGCTGTCCGAGGGCTGGGGTAGGGAAGGAATAAACCAGCTTGGACCAGCTCAAAGACCACAGGATATGTCACAGGGACACAGTAACCAGCCTGAAGGCACTTGCTCCCCCCCCCTCTCTTCTCTCTCTCTCGGTTCTCACTATGCAGTCCTGGCTTGGTCTCAAACTCAAATTCACAGAGGACCACCATAGCAGACTCAAAGATGGGACAATCTGATCATCACAATAACTGCAAATTCAAATGATAAATCATAGTGATACTTACAAAGTGGAGGTGATGGTGGAAGGAAAATGAGTTGGACAAGGGGGGTGGAGAGACTAGAGAGGGAGAAGTGGGGAACCCAGAACACAGGGAGAGGGGATCCTGGGGGGTGTCCCAGGAAGGGGGGTGCTGAGGGACATTTGTCTCAGAGAGGACACTCACATGTGGCTGAAGGGACTATGCAGTTGGTGAGGCAGAAAAGAGCTCTTGGGTGGCAACACTGACCAAACCGGGCAAAGATGGGTGTGGATGGTGGAAGGCCACTTGAAGGAAGGAGTCTACACTAGAGGATGGGGAGGCATGGGGAGGAACTGGGGAGGACTGGAAGACTAGGAGAAGTTAAGGGAGGCTGGGAAGACTTAGGGGCCTGGGAGGGCCTGAAGGGAGAGTGTGGGGACTAGGGGAGACTGAGGAACTGGGGAGACTTGGAGGACTGGAGGAACAGGGAGGGCCTGCGGAACAGGGGGCAGACTCTAACAGAGGGGAGGGAGAGTGCAGGCTGAAGTTTGGGGAGCCTAGGCAAGCTGGGGTTCGCGGTGGGGAGCACTCACCCGGGGATCCGAGGCTCACGGAGCAGCCAGAGCTCTGTCCGGTCTGCAGCGCAGCAGAATGAGTCGGGTGGGGCTGCGCGGGAGGAGCGCAAGGCGGGGCAGGCCAGGGCCCCCTGTCCCAGTCCAAGCCGGCCTCGGGCGCTCCCTAGCGGGGACCGGGGACAATGCGAGGCGAAGCTAGCACTGCATAGGACTTCCAGTTCAGAGTTCAAATTCTGCCTCCTTCTTGAGCATTGGGGTCTCTTCCAATCTGTCTCCCTTCTTAGCAGAGGAATAAACGGACTAGTAGTAATTTATCTTGCAGTGGCAGTGCATCCCTGTATTTTCTGCATGTGTAAGATTGAGGCAGGAGGATGGCCACTTTGAAGTCAGCCTGGTCTACCTAGTGTGACCCTATCTCAAAAATAACAGTAACAACAAGAGGGTCAGGCATGGTGGCGCTCGCTTTTAATCCATCCCAGCACTTGGGAGACGGGGCAGGCAGATCTCTGTAAGTTCTAACATGCGTGAAGCCCCGGGTTCCATCCCCAGCACCAAATAAGCCAGGCAAGGTGGTGCATGTCTGTCATTCCAGCACTAGGGAAGTGGAGGCAGGAAGATCAGGAGTTCAAGGTCATCCTCAGCTACATATTGGGTCTGAGGCCAGCTTGAGCTACCAGTGAGCTCCTGAAGAAAAAAAAAAAGCACCCATTTTTCCCATGTATGCCTGCAGCTGACTTCTTGCCACATCCTTGAATTTGTAAGGCTCGGGAATAGTTAAGGCATTGGGAGAAATCCTGCCTCAAGTAGCCAGAGAATGTCAAAGAAGTCATTTGCCTCAGTGCCTCAGTTTCACCACCTATTAGGTCTTTGTTGTGCCTTACAAAACAGCATCCCTTAAGTGTTGGCTGAGATGGCCCTAGTCAGCCCCTGGCTCTCCTGTCCCTGTCCTTCTGCATGTCCCTTTTGGGGGACACTTGTGGCTATCGACCAGTGCACATTACACTATTATACTTTATAAGGTTTATTTTATTGTATTTTATTTTGGCTTTCCAAAACAGGGTTTCATTAGGCAGCCCAAATTTACCTCAAGCTCGTCATTCTCCTGCCTCAGTCTCCCTCCCACATGCTGGGATTATAGGTATATACTACTACACTTAGCAAGCAAGCTGTTGCTAATCTGAAAATGCCCTCACCATCCTCTCTCTCAATGTCAGCCAGCAGCCACAAGAATGTTGTCTGACTTGCTCATTGTTGGTACCCCAGTACCCAGGGATGTTTTGATTTTATATATATACATATAATGTCTTTTTGAGATAGGGTCTCCCTGTAGCCACAGCTGGTCTGGAGCTTCCTATGTAGACCAAGCTGGCCTTGATCTCACAGAGATCTGCCTGCCTCTGCCTCCCAAGTGCTGGGATTAAAGGCGTGTGCCACCACACCTGGTTTGCCTCTGCCTCCCAAGTGCTGGGATTAAAGGTGTGTGCCACTACACCTGGTTTGTGATATTTAAAAATTTTTGTCCTCATGTAAGTACACATGTGCTTGTAATGCCCTAGGAGACCAGAAGTCATCGGAGTCCCCTGGAACTGGAGTTACAGATGGTTGTTAGCCACCATGTGGGTGCTAAGAACTGAACCTAGGGTCCTCTGCAAGAGCAGCCAGTGATCTTAACCACTGAGCCATTGCTCCAGCCTGTTCTTGATGTTTTTTGAGACAAGAGTGTATAACTCTCAACCTCTCTAAGCAGCTGAGACTGACCATGAATTCCTGATCCTCCTACCTCCACTTCTGGTGCTGGAATGACAAGAGCACCTACTATACCCATCAGTGCTTTTAAGATTATTTATTTGAGACTATTTATGTGTATGTATATGCCTTCATGAGTTTATGTGCACCACATGTATGCAGACTCCCACAGGGGCCAGAAGGCAGCATCAGATCCCCTGGAACTGGAATATAGGCAATTGTAAGCAGCCACACAGGTGCTGGGAACCAAACCCAAGTCCTCTGCAAAAGCACCACCTGCCGTTAGCCACTGAGCCATCTCTCCAGCCCCATCCATCTCTTGAAACAGCAGCATACCTAAAATGAGGTGCTGCAAAGACAGCTGAGGCTCCTGACTCCAGGCCATCAGGGATCAGATCCCATGATCCTCCCCATGGCTTGGTGTTTCCAAGCAAAGTCCGCAGTTCCTCCTGGGACCTACTAACAACTGACTGCATTTACTTCAGCGGATCCACTTCCTTCCCTGGGGAGCTGCAGGGACTTCTATCTTTTTAATTTAAAAACATTTTATTTTACATTTCTTTCTTTTGTGTGTGATCAGAGGACAACTCAGAGTTTTATTTTTTCCTACCATTGTGTAGTTCCTGGGGTTTGAACTCTGTCAGATGTGGTGGCAAGCACCTTTACCCAGAGTCATCTCGCCAGCCCCCAACTATCTCTTCATGCTGGTGCCAGGGCTTAGAAACAAGGAAGGGCCTGGGACCCAGCAGACACTCACCCAATATGTGGTATGAAATCTCTGGCCAATGACTTGGCCCCACCCCCCAACACCAAAACACCCAGAAATAAAACATCCAAAGGCAATAGGGGCCAGAGGGGCCTGAGTAGTTTTAAAAAAAAGGATCGGTTTTTAATTTACAAGAGTTCTAAATGTACAGAATTTTTCTTTAAAAAAATTGTTATACACAATAAATACAGTACAAAAAAATTTATCTTACAGTACAAGTTTTGTCTCCGAGATTTCAAAATGTGGCGCAGTGGGCTGGAGGGAGGATGAACATGGGGGAAGACAGCTGTTGGGGAGGAGACCCCGTGTCTTGTTCCTCTAGAGGGCTGGGGGTTGATGGGAATCTCTCACTCGCACACACAGGGAGACTTGGGCGCACACATGTATGGACCAGACACAGGTGCTTGGGGGGGACACTGTCTTGTGTCCTGGCTCTCTAATATTCCAGGCTGTGTGGGCAGTGGGAAGTGCCGAGCCTGCCTGAAGGCTGTTCTGGGTGTCTTGGATGGTGATTCAGGAAGCCAACCACACAAGACTCGGATCTGAACAGTGCCGCAACCCAGCGGCCCAGCCCTGGACAGCACTCACACATACCCCCTGGCCAGTCCTCTGCCAGAGCGACATTGTACATTACAGCCCCCTTCCCTTAAACCCATACCCCCATCCCAACTCTCCCTTGCCAACCGTGAAAGCAGGAGGGTGGGGAGGCCTTTGTGACTCAAATAACTTAGGCAAGAATTGTCAGGGGACCCTGGCTAGTGTCGCCCCCCCAGAGGTCTCCCCGGCTGCTCCCCCTGGGGAGGAGGGGGGTGACCCGACAGGGGCCGCAAGAGCAGCCCAGTGTTATCTGTTCAACGTCCTGGCACCCAGGCCACCGTTGTGACTGGAGGGTGGGAAAGTGTCAGGCCTGTGCAGGGGTGCTGGGGATGCTGGGGTGCCAGGCGTGGGGCCAGCATGGGGGTACGGGGCTGCAGGTGTCCGGCCGGGGGCCTGCTGAAGGTTAAGGATGCTGTCAATGGCACTCTGCAGGTGCTCCGTGAGCGTGTCGTCCTGCGGGCTGTCGCTGGAGAAGCTGGCCTGATCCACGTCGGGGGATTCGGATTTCCGTCTCTTGGCCGGGGGCAGTGTGGGGGCTTCCCAGCCGGGCTCGGTGGGGGTCTGGCCAGGGGCGCTGGCTGGAGGATCTGGGGGGGGTGGGCCGCCCTTCAGCACGCGCTGGTAGAGCTCGTCCTCCACAGCTGCCAGCTCTCGGATCAGGCCGCTGGTGGCCTCGTCCACCTTGCCGGGCAGCGGAGTGGGGCTGCCAGCTCCTCGTGGCCGGCCCTGGGCACCCTCGGGCGCGCCCGGGGCACCCACGTTCTCGCGGTAGGTCTTGCGTAGCGGCAGGCGTGGGCAGGGTGTGGGAGCCGTGGGAGTTGCTGGCTTGCGAGGTGCGGGTGGGGGGTGGTCTAGAGTGCCATTCATCTGCGCCTGCGAGGAGGGAGGTGGCGGAGGCGGGGCCGGGTGCGGCGGAGGCTCTGCCCCTTTCGCAGCTGAGGCTTGATGCAAGGGCTGGTGCACAGGGTCCAGCGCTGTGTTGTGCACCACCTTGCTGAGCCCGGCTTCCTGCTTGATCTTGAGCTTCAGGCCAATACGACTGCGGGCCTCGTAGGTCTTGATGGGAGGCCGGTTGCGGGAGGGCATGGGGCCATCCTCATCAGCATCAAGGGATGAGGTGGCAGAGGAAGAGGATGAAGAGGATGAGGAAGAAGATGTTGAAGACAGGGAAGACGATGCACGGGCCCAGGTCACAGATGGGGAGCCGCCTGCCCCTCCATGCCGGATCACAAGCTTGGTGGGCAGGTGTGGAGGGGGCTGGGCCGAGGCCCCAGATGTTGAAGATGAGGACGGTGTGGGGAGCCGGTGACCCTCGGAAGAAGCCGGGACAGAGAGGCCGAGGGAGCGGGAGGAAGACACATACTCATCTGTTGGGTTTGGACAAGGAAAACCCACAGGTTAAAGAGCAGAGGTGAACAGGTGGGTGTGCACCATCTTCTGGTCCAGGGTGGGTCTCAACCAACCTGATTCCTGGGGCACCCCTACGCTACACAACCCTCTTAACAGCGGCCTCCAAACCCTCCCTAAAATGGAACTACAATCAGGGTTACACATGTATGTTACTTAAAGTTAAAGCAGCTGTGGTGGCCCATGTGTGTAATTCTGGGTACTCAGAGGGCTCAGGCAGAAAGATCAAGAATTTGAGGCCAGCTTGAGTTGTACAGGGAGACCCTGTCTTAAAAAGCCAAAAAGTAAGCCAGGCCTGAAGCTTGCCTTTAATCCCACCACTCTGGAGGCAGAGGTAGGTGGATCTCTGAATTCAATGCCAGTATGTTCTACAAAGGGAGTTCTAGGCCAACCAGGGCTACATAGTGAGACCCTATCTCAAAAAAAAAAAAAAAAAGGTAAAACCTCAGTACCTCCCATAAACCATATATTCAAATGCAAAATGGCCACACAATCCAGTGGCTTCTGGAGAACACAGGTAAAGTGAACCTTGACCATTGTGGACAGCTCCAACTGACTCAAAAAATAAGGGTTTAAAACACACAGAGAGAGAGAGAGAGAGAGAGCGAGAGAGAGAGAGAGAGTGCAGCTATTCAGGAGGCTGAGGCAGAAGGATGGAGTTCAAGGCCAGCCTGGGCTGCGGAGTGAGTTTGAGGACAGCCTGGATAACTTAGTAAGATCCTGTCTAAAAATATAAAAATAAATAGGAGCACAGCTCAGTGGTAGAGGACCTGCCTAGAATCCCCCAGTGAGGGGCTGGGGGCGTGGCTCAGTGGTAGAGTTAAATGAATGCCATAAGGCTATTTCTTTTGTTTTCTGTCTGGGAACCCTGTGTATGCTTGGTGATGCTCCCCAGCAGCACATCTGTGGCTCTGACAGTTTATTTATGGTCTTGACTTTTCAAAGCATGTTGTCTGCATGCCATCTGATCCAAAACAGGAATTCTTGTATCTGATCACAGGGTCTTTTCCAGAGCCACTAGGGACAACCAGAAGACACACATAGGTACTACATCACCTTCCTAAAGGTAGAAAATTTCAGGACATACTCCAAAGGATTCAGAGATGGATTATACTATAACTCCCACTGTATACATGAGAAAAGAGGCCCAGAGAGGTTGAGTAACACACCCAAGTCAGGACAAGGCAGAGCTGGAATCTGAACCAGGGTAGTAGATATGGTGTGACTGGGGAATGACACCCTGATCCTCTTCCAGGGTGAGACTGCCCAGCTGCCTCCTTCACTGGGATGCCCCTTCCCCACCAATGACTTTGTTAAAAAAAAAAAAAAAAAAATTCAGGAGGGGGGGGAAAAAGCAGGATTTTTTTTTTTTTTTTAAGAGAACAATGGTGCCGGGCGTGGTGGCGCACGCCTTTAATCCCAGCACTTGGGAGGCAGAGGCAGGCGGGTCTCTCTGGCTTCAAAGGCAGCCCGGTTTTCATAGTGGGTTCCAGGACAGCCGGGGGGACATGGGGGGTGGTCTCAAAAGACAAAAAAAAAAAAAAAAAAAAAAGAGAGAGAGAGAGAGAACAATGGTTTTTGGAGTTGCAAAGCCATGTGTTGAGAGGGCTCCAGGGATGTTTGGGAAAGCCAGAGGCCAAGATGTGGCTGTACCCTTTGTTTGAAGACTGGTGAGGCTTGCAAAAATCAAGGAGGGCCTCTTCTCAGGGTGCAAACACAGACTGGACAGAGTGAGTGCTGAACCCAAGAACCTTGCTGTGTGCCCCAGCCGTGGCTAGTCTTTGCTGCTTTTCAGTCTAGCTGGGGCTGCAGAAAAAGCCCTGGAATCCAGAGCGGCAACTCACAGGGAAGAGTAGTCCGGGAGGAAAGAGGCTCGAGTGTCCCCTGGTGGCCAAGGAAGGTAGGACTACTCAGACCAATCTTTTTTTTTTTGTCTTTTTGAAACAGGGTCTCCCTGAAGCCCTAGCTGGCCTGGAACTCACTATGTAGACCATAGTCTTGTGGGCTTGAACTCACAGAGATCCGCCTGCCTCTGCCTCCCAAGTGCTGGGACTACCGGCGTTTGAAACAGGGTTTCCCTGTAGCCCCAAGCTGGCCTGGATTCGCTTACGGAGACCAGGATGGCCTTGAACTCAGAGAGATCCACCTACCTCTGCCTCTGGAGTGCTGGGAATAAAGGCGTGCACCACCATGCCCAGCTCCAATCCTGTTTTTTGAGATCCCTATGTAGCCCTGGCTGGCCAAAAACTCACTAGGCAACCAGGCTAGCCTCAAACTCAGAGAGATCCACCATTCTCTGCCTCCTGAGTGCTGGGAGGATTAAAGGCGTGTGCCCCCAAGTCTGACTCCTTGTTGGAAATTGTAACAGTTTAGTGCTCCTGGAATGGGGGACACTTCACCCTCCTTTCCCTCTCACCTGGCTTCTCCTTGGCCAGCTGTTTATCCAAGGCAAGGGTGGTTTTCTCCTCCTGAATGAACATTCGGTCAATCATAACCATCTCCGCAGATGGGCTGACCCTCTGGGGTGATGGGAGGAGAGAAAAGGACCATGAACAAGTAAGTGGAGGAAGACATTCAGGAGGCTGACAGGGTGCCACTGGTCACTCCCCCTCCTTCCCAGCTAAGGGAGAACTGTGGCCCTGTGCAGAACCAGGCCCGCCCTGTGTAGAACCAGGCCTGGGGCAGGTCACAGCAGGGAAGGGCCCCCAGCAGCTCCCGGCACCTACCCGGGACTCCTCCAGGAGCAAAAGCCGGTATTTATTGAGCATGGCCTGCGTGCGTTTCAGCAGCTGCGTGGAGACTGTCTCAAATTCCTCATCCACTAGTGGAAGAAAAGTCACAGGGTGAGAGTTGTGGGTGCAAGTAGATGTTTCAGGGTCAAGGGCACCCACAGCTGCCCAACTGTGTCTCCAACTGGGCAAGTGCACAGGGCTCAGGGCCCTTGGGGACACGTGGGCGGGGGCTCACCTTTGTGGTAGTCGTTGGGGGAGGGGAGGGCACCCTGGTAGACGTGGTACGGCAGAAGGCGGTGGAGGGCGTCCTCGAAGGAGGGGAAGGCTGTCTTGTAGTCAGGGTGTAAGACAGAGCCCTGATGTTTGTGCAGATGCTCCAAGAAACTGGGGGTGGGGTTAGACCACACACAGAGCCAGGGATGAGGACAGGAGGAACTGATCCCAAACTGCAGTCCCAGGCCAGAGACCCAACACTGCAAGGACACACGCTCAAGACACATTCCCTTTTCATTGCTTCTCTGATCACAGACCAAAGTTAACAGGAGACATAAAAGGGCATAGGAGACTGGGAAAGGTGAGAGGACATCACTCTTGCTCAGCACTCTCACCAGGAGAGGAGAGTTGGGCAGGAACCTGAAGGTTCTCCCACCGTGGTATTCTGTCTCCTGCCACCAGGGGGCAGGACATCTCTAGTCTCTGGCCTAAGAGACCTGTTAGGGGTGGGGTGGGTAAAAGGGTGTTAGGAGGTTTTAAGAGCCTGTTTTCCCTCCATTGTGGTTTTCTACAGAACCCAACACAGTAGGCTGGGTTTCCCCATCACGTGAGCCTGTCCCTGACCAGATAAGCCTGGGAGATCTCTGCTGGAGACCACAGCCCCCAGTCCCATGGATAGGATCTTGTAACTGCTGTGGTCCTGCATCTAGGGCTGCACAGTGAGTGCTTAACAAATACTGTGGGGCATACAACACAAACAAACAGCCAACCACCACCTACCCCCGTCAAAGTCCTTTGAGTCCCTCCTACCTGGCTTTTCCCCCATGGTGTCTGACAAGATGACGGAATAGGGCTAGCCCACACAGATTAAACTGTGGCTTTTGTCATTGGGGCTCTGGATGGAAGTCAGGGCTCTGTGCGTGCTAGACAGGCACTCCACACGGAGCTACAGCCCTAGCACACTGCAGCCTCTTAGAGCCAGCAGCCTGGCGGGGCCCCCAGTGTCCTCACTCCATGTCCTCGGCAGCAGGGAAACTGATGCCAAAGAGTATGCAAACAGCTATGGAGAAGGGAACTGGGGCCCTGTGGAGGGTGGTCCCTGCAGTTGGGGTGGGGCTCAGGGCCGGCAGCTGTCACTCACCAGGCTTCCTTGCTGGGCTGCAGCAGGGGATGTTTCTTTAGGCTGCACAACTTGCTATCATACTGTGGAAGGAGGAGAAGTGAGTGGCAGGTACCATGAGGAGGAAGCCTTTTCTTTCCCCGCCCCCATCCCTGTATCCTCCCTCCAGCCAGGGACACAGATGGGAGGACTGGCCAGCCCCAGGATCCCTGTCCATCCAGAGAGACTGGTCAGGGAAAGCCAGGTGTCTGTCATAGCCTGTGTCCTGGTTAGCCTTAATTGTCCATTTGACACAGCCTAGAGTTGAGAGGAGAGGCCTCCACTGAAGACAGGCCTGTGGGCATGTCTTATTTAAGTGATGCAGGAGGGCTACTGAGAATGGCACCGGCCCTAGGCAGGTGGTTCAGATCTGTATAAGAAAGCTAAGCTTCCTCCGTGGTTTCTGCTTGAGTTCCTGACCCAATGTCCCTTCACTGTGACCTGGAAGTATAGAACAAGTAAGTCCTCTGCTCCCCTAGGCTGTTGTTGCTCAGTGTTTTGTCACAGCCAGAAAGGAAATGAAAAGAGCCTGTAAGGCACAGCACTTGAGAGGGAGGACTTCGAGGCAGCCTTGTCTATCTGAAACCTTTTCTCAAAAACCAAGGAGGGACACACAGGAAAGAAAGAAGGGAAGGGAGGGAGAGAAGGAGGAAGGAGGGGAGGAAGGGAAGCAGTCTAGCAGATGTGGCCCAGGCTGTAGGAGAAGTGTTAACAAGGAGGCCGAAGTCCTTGCACGCTCCACTTAGGTCTCCTCTGCCCTAGCCCAGGACGGGTCTCTCTGCTTTGGTCTTTTGGTCTTCCTGAGTCATTCATTATAGCTTGACTCAAATTTCACCATGATTGAACTACTTCATTGCCAGCCTCCTCTCTGCTTCTCATTAATGTAGTATTTGATCTGCTTGGTTTGCTATAATTGGTCTGTCTATATAATTTTTTTCTTACCAGGGACAGAATCCAGAGCTTAGCGCAAGGAAAGCGCTCTACCTCTGAGCCACGCCCCCAGTTCCTCATTGGTGGATTCTAGGCACGCCCTCTATCACTGAGCCACACCCCCAGCCCCTCATTGGTGGATTCCAGGCAAGAACACAATCACTGAGCCACACCCCCAGCTCCTCCCTCGGGGATTCTAGGCAGGTACCCACTGGATTGCTGAGCCATACCCCCAGCCCTTCACTGGTGCTCTGTCACTGGGTCATTCCCCTAGTATCTGACAGGTGGATTCTATGCAAGTGCTCTACCGCTGAGCCATGCCCCCAACCCTAGCCTGCACCCAACTTTCTGTCTTACACTCTGAGTCTTCCAGTCTCCCCTACTTCTTGGAGTATCCTCCCCTGGCCCCTGCCCAGGTCCCTTCCACCTCTAGACCAGGATTCACCCTGACCTCCCAGTCTAGTCTCACCCGGCCATTCCCACCTCTCCTGTCCTCAGTGCCCACCAAACAGTCTTAACCATGTCTACCCTCACCTCAGTGTCACTTGTGCCTTCCCTGGCTGGCCTCTCACACTGTCACTCAGCTGCCCTGGAGACTGTGTGTCCAGCTGTCTCTGTACTTCACCTCTGACCCTGCAGACTTCCACTGCCCCTTCCTGCCCCAGCTTGGCTCTTGTCACAGTCTTGGCCGTCCCTGCCCAGTGTCCTAGGTTCATTCCAGCCCTGCCAGCTCGTTCTGTGATGCCTGGTTGCTCCAGGTCCCTTACCTGCAGCCCTGGGGGCTTCCCTGGCCCAGACACAGAGGCTTTGACCACACTCATGGTTGGAAGGTTACTGGTAAAGGCTTTGTTCTCAGCAGGAAGTAGAGTTGGGAGGCCTGGGATGGAGGAGAGGGGAGAGGGACCAGGAGTCAGAAGCATGAAGGCTCTTCCTCCATGGTAAGCCCTACTCCTACCCCCACCCCAAGTTCCTGAGACCCTCCTTTCTGCCCTCCTTTCTCAACCTGTTGGTGCCAGGGAGCCAGGGTGAGACCCTGGGCTCTGGCACACAGCAGCTACCCCACCCCTTCTCCTGGGTGGGCTCCTCTCCCTACCTGTGGTGGCCATAGGTGCTGAGGCTGGGGCATGGCTGGAGGTGGCAGAAGTCCCAGATGGCACCTGTCCACTGACCAGCACTGAGGCAGTGGGAGTGGTGAGGGGCCCCAGGGTGGTGGACACCTGCTGGGCGGTGGGGGCACCCCCTGCCTTATTCTGGAGAATAATCCCAGATGGCACCTGAGGTCGGAAAGGTGGTTGAGGGATGGGATTCAGGATAGCAGTGAGGGTGGCCAGATACATGGGGGAAGGGTAGAGACACATAGTAGGTAGGCAAAGGGGACAGCCTGGGGAGGTGGGAAGCTGTCCCTGCCACAGGTTACCTGGTGAAATCTTTCCAGAAGGGCCTTCGACTGGGGCAGCGCTGGGAAGGGGGCAGTCACCATCTGGAAGGTCCGAGGTGGTGGAGGGGGCGCTGTGGTCTCAGGGACCAAGTGGAGGGCTGGTGGTGGAGTGGGGGACTTATGGGGCCCCTGGCCCGGTGGGAACTGGAGCTGGAAGTCAGGGGGTGTGGGGACTGGCAACCTGGTGGAGGGCTCAGAGGAGGAAGCCACAGCAGAGGGGGTGGAAGAGGGTGGGAGGTGGGAGGCTGGTGGCATTGGGCCCTCAGGAGGCTGGGATGGGGGGCGCAGAGG